TCTTTTTGTTTTCCGATGGTCTTAGGCGACCCCTGTGAAAGGGTCGTTCGACCCCCAAAGGGGTCGCGACCCACAGGTTGAGAACCGCTGCCCTAAACCATGCTGGAGGTCATCCCATGCCTTGGACTTTTGGGGCTGCATTGGATCCCTATGCTCTGAGACAGCAAGCAGAATGTGTGGAAAGCCCTGGGACCTCACGTTGTACATGACGATGCACCCCTGATTCCTGCAGATGCTTAGATTGGACTGACTGTTACACAGCGTCCTATAATTGTTAACGTTACCAGTGGGACAATATGAAATGTTTCACAATTGACATGGAACCTTTCGAACAATGCTTACTATGTTCAAAAGGTTCCATCTGAGAAGTGGTTGGTCGTGTCCCTGATATACCAGGGGTGTGGTGAGGTCACCAGGGTGCTCAAGCATTCATCCTCTCTGGATGGACCTGGAGGGCAGTCAAACCCCAAGTGCCCCGGGCTCACTCAGTTCAAGCTTCCTTCTCAGTTTTTTTATTCCAAACCCAGCACTGCCCCCTCTACTTTATTCTGCCCTTCTAGGGGTTAAGAAAGCGAACTTAGGAGGCACAGGGGTTAAGAAAGCGAACACAGGGTCCCCCCTCTGGCTGGCATCAGGGTACCTGGGGTCAGTTTCCAAAGAAGCTGAGCTGCTCAGAAGTCCTGTGGGTACAGATTAGCAGTTTATTCCCTCAAGAGTGGGACCCTCTAGCACAAGGATGATGACTGCAGCATGCAGGCCCCTGGTTTCTGCATCTGCATGACTTTTGTGCGCTGGGATGCCTTTTGATTTCATGGGCGCCATATGTGTCTATGGGCAGCTATCCTGGGCACTGGCGAAGGCTGGGCAAGGGAGTGTTCCTGAGGCACCTTGAAGATGCTAAGTAAGGAGAGCAAGGACTCTCTTCTCCCCTCTGTGCTTGGGGAGGTCCTCCCCAAGTTTGAGTAGACCAGGACAACAATGAAAGTACTCTCAGCAGATCGTTTGGCGACTTCTAATTTACCCAGTGCTCTGATCCCTCTGTGCATCCCTGAGAGCTGAGGGGCCCACCTCAGTCTCCCAGCCAAGAAGCAGGGAAACAGAGCTCCACCTTGTCCCTCCTGGGGGTCCCTGTGCCCAGCTCCTCGTCACTTGCTGCCTTCCGCCTGGGAACATATTTATTGGCCCAAGTTTAGCATTTGGTGCAGAGAGACTTGAGGCCTGACCCTTGGAGAGTCTCTCCCTCCAGAAAGAAAGCTCCTGACACCCAGCCTTACTCACACGCCAATTTCTGTTAAAGCACAGGTGCTTTCCGGGATTTGACCTGAATCCCACAAATGCTGGGTGACGCAGGCTAGGGAGCAAAAAAGGGACATCCCCCACACCCGGGTTTTTTCTTTTAATGAAGCCTGACATTCTATTCTGGGATCCGTGCTCATTTGTGCCGGGGGAAGGTTGTCCTGGGAAGCCTGGCAAGGCGGTATGAATAAATCATAAAGTGCTTTACAAATCAGCATTAGCTGCACACACGAGGGCTCTCAGAAGATGTTAGGGCCTGGTTCTCACCACCCCTGAGGATTCATTTATTTGCAGCCAGGGCTGTTTCAGAGGCTCTGCAGAGGGGAGCGCACATTCATAACTGTGAGGAAAAGACCCCGATTAACGACTCTGGATTGAATTGGGTCAGTACAAATTGTGCATGGGTCATTTCCTTAATAATTCCCAATATTGCCCAGGAAGGGGAACTGAAAGCTCGTGAGTTTAGAGCCCAAATGTCAGTCCCCAATGGGTGCAATTTGGGTTGTGCTCCACCGGCCAATCCAGGGTGTTGGCTCCTTTGTCTCATTTGGTGCCGTGGACTCTGTCCTCTCCGGGCCTAGAAGGCTGCCCCCAGGAAACTCACCAAGGGGGAGAAGGAGGCAGAAGCAGGGTCATCAGTGTAGCGAGCACAGATCACACTCAAACAACAGCCTGGGTTCACTCCCACCTCCTCCACACACTGGATCCTGACAGTGGCAAGTGACTTAACCTCTCTGAGCCTCGGTGTTGTCATCTGTAAAGTGAGCATAATGAACGCAGGACTGACGTGTGGGTTAACAGCAATGATTCAGACAACCTGCCTAGAACACAGGGAGAGTGTGAAAGGGGAAGGGAGGCGTAGGCATCACAGTTTGTCATCTTTCTCCCCATCCCAGTGTAATTTCCTGGTGACCCCCTCTGTTCTGTAGGAAATCTTATAGGGTAAGGGACAAGGTAGACCATGAAGCCGGCTACAGATGTGGAGCAGTGTAAGTCACAATTCAATTCAGTCTGTTCTGCTGCCATATGAATGCCACCTTTTTTTTTTTTTTTAGTTTAGTTTAGTTTTCAGTATAGAAACTAAGCACAAAGATAAGCCATGAACATCACCTCAGGAAGAAATCTATGACAACCATGAGTTGATGCCTCTCTAGGGACTATGCCCCTGCTCAAAAGGGCCATTATAACTTGGACAGTGGGGCGGGTGATGTGTGAGTGTGCACACACACACACACACACACACACACACACACACACACAGCTGCTGTTGGCGAAGCAGTTACACTTAGTTCCCATCCCCGCTCCTTCTGACCCTTTCTGGAATCTTCCCAGCCTGTTTCAGCAAGTCTTGCAAACAGCTCCAGCTACACCATGCTGTCTCCCTGGACACTGTGTGGGTAGTGGAATCACCATAGCAACATGGCCCCTGTGGGCACAGAGCTGCCTATGAGGACAGTGCTGGGTGTGGGCCAGAGCCCCGGTGCCAGGGGGCTGGGAGGGCCCTCTCGCAGCTTACATACTGACCTGGCTCAGGAATCCCAGCCCCTGGCAGCCCAGACAGGGAGCACGATGTGTGGGGAAAAGGAAAGCATCCGTCTTCCTTGTAGAATCGTAGGTAGAAACCCCAGCATGAGCATGGAGGGGTAGGAGGGGTTCTGCAGTGAGAATGAGAAGGCCCAGGTGGGTCATGGATCTGGGCGAGTGCCAGTCTCAACAGCTTTGGGGGCTCTCAGAGCATTCGTGGCAGCGGTGCCATGTTAACGCCCCAAGCCTGTGCCCTCATGAAATTCAGTACTCACCGCTGTCATGTACCAAGGCCGGCTTGCTGCCACATGCAGCCTTTCCTTCAAATCCCCACCACCACCTGACAAGGCCAGGT